TCGGGTACTAATAATATTTCGTGGTCCGTCTCTTTCTTTATATATATATATATTTCTTTCTTCCTCTCTCTTTTTCTCTCTAGCCTGCCCTCTCCTTGTCCCACGATTCCGTCTCTCTTTCTTTTACTCCCTCTCTGGCGCGCGCGCTCTCTCTTCATCTATCTCTGACGCTCTTGCTCTCTCTCCCTCTCTCTCTCTCTCTCTCTCTCTCCCTCTCTCCACTGCTTGCAAGGATCGACTATCATTCGGACTGAAGATCAAAAGCGACGGAGCGAAATTGCTCCAGATTCAGCGCTGGAAATGAGTTTTGTAGAGGAGATTTGATGCGCTGATAACGATGAAATTATGTTCGATCCACCGTAGGCGATAGTCGGGCGCTCGAGTAGTCGGGTAGTCGGGCGCTCAGGTAGTCGGTCGGGTAGTCGGTCAGGCGGGTCGGATAGGCGGTTAGTATATAATAGCATATTAGGCCGAGCGACCCTGGCTTTGGTAGGTGATGATCCCCACCTTCACAACGCGTGGTCCCAAAATAAACGCCATCTAGCGAGACAAACGAGTAGGCGCGTACAGGTGCGTATCTTCTTTAAAGCGTAGCGCTTGAGGCTTTCAACCACCGTGCCAGGGCATGTGTAATGCAGTGGCTAGGACGAGTGTAGTGTAGTGACCCGAGAAGGAGAAGAAGAAGAAGAAAAAGAAGAAGAAGAAGAAGAAGAAGAAGAAGAAGAAGAAGAAGAAGAAGAAGAAGAAGAAGGAGGATAATAATAATAATAATAATAAGAAGAAGAAGAAGAAGAAGAAGAAGAAGAAGAAGGAGAAGAAGAAGAAGAAGTAGAAGAAGCGTAGCCCTTTGGTGGCAAACAACGCAGACGGACTATATATAACCATGGTGGCGGTGTCGTCGGTGTGGAGGAACAGAGAGGGCCCTGTGTGTCGTGTTGATATCCGGGTGTCCGGACGCAGGCGCGCGGTAGTAAAATCTTCATGTAAACACACGGCTATGTGCCGGACGTATATAGTGGTCGTCTGTATAGTAGTGGCGGAATGCGCGCGGCTAAACATAGAGGGTAGGTTTGGTTTGGGCGCAGTGTGTGTGTGTGTGTGTGTGTGTGTGTGTGTGTGTGTGTGTGTGTGTGTGTGTGTGTGTGTGTGTGTGTGTGTGTGTGTGTGTGTG